CCTACGGACGTATCCTCATGCTGAAGAGAAAGTTTCAATGCTTCATGGCATTGAGTTTCGATCACCTTGGGATTGCCACGAACACTCCATTATTCGCATACAAGCCTTTGCATGAGTACCGAATTCTTCGAGTTAGCAATTCCCCTCACCTCTGTGAGCTTTGCATAACTCTTTCGGTCGTTGAGCAACCCATTCCACCTTACATGGTCTCATCCTTTATCAAGCGTCTCGCTTGCCTTCAGCATCATCAAGTATGATTGCCAATGTTGAACCGTAGCTCAAACTCAGCCATCCCAACCTTTATGCGCTACGCATTCTTCCCAACTTGTTTGTCCTCTTGGTGCCTCTTGCACGAAAGGTTAGTCATTCCTCTGAATGTCAATCTCAGATGCCCGCTTCTCTGAGCGACGCCTTTTTCCTACATTTCCATGCCCGCTTTCCCTTAAATGGTTGCGCGTGCTGGCTGTCCTCAACGCAGCCCCGCTAGGTCCCATAAGTTTGCATGCCAAGTGTTTCTATGAGTGCTTGTCCCGCTCTCATTCCATCTGTCACGGACTTAGCTGGTTTTGCCTAAGTCGTGCGGTACCCTTGCATGTCCGTCCGCAAAGGTCAGCCTCCTCGAAATCTCCTATGGTCCCTTAGGACCTACAAAAGAGAAAACAGGTTAGAGAAAGCGTCTCACTGAGGATCCACAAGCAATCATTTCAGGAAACACTTCATAACCAAAGCAAATTACAAACAAACTTCACAAGCTCTGAGCGGTTGCACAACAAAGGATCCAAAATGGTCAACTACAGACCGAGATCTCTCATAAGTATCCACATGACACAATCTTTATTTACAAGCCTAAAATGGCCACCAAACCCAACTAAATTGGGGCTATTAAGCCTTCGACCGTCCCTCTACATGCTGTGCAAAGCATGAACAAACCAAAAGACATGGACATACATGAGCATTACATTAAACACCTTGTTTACAGTTTTGTCCGCGACAAGCCGCTCCAATCATATCTTTGTATGATCAAGTCCCACCATGGGACTCACTGGTATTTACATACGGAATACCCCTCGGTGATACACCGCCCTCATATACTAATGCCCAAGGCTTTTATCCGATACAAAATTCGATGTAGGCACGGAAGACTCGCCTTTATGATACCATGACATTCACTCTTTGAATTCATAACCCTTATTGTTGTTGTGTTGCTCATCAAATTGGAGCTCCCAGTAGCTCCCGATCACACCTCTGTATCATCAAGTCCATCACAAGACTTCTCTTGTGTGTGTCGCATTGCCTCAAATTGTTTCACCACGATCCGCTACATCATGTCGGGTCCTAGTGACATCTCAATTGCATTCTGATCTTTATGGGTTGAACTCGGACTGCAATCTCTCTATGTGTGGCCTTTGCCAATACATCACAGGGCCTATGTCACCTTCGATTATATTCGCTCCTTTGGCAATCAACCTTCATTCACCTACTCTTGGGTCACACACGGACGAAGTGCAACTCTAAGATAATCTGTTACTCAACAGCTCTCTAAGTCTACCGACTTCACTGAAATTGGTGTGCTATTGTTTGGATTATGGGGACCTGCCCCTAGCACAATCTTCGCTGCACACAGCTTCCTTTATGGCAATTCGAATGACAGCACTATAACATATTCTTCAAGAGTACTCGCCTCTTCCTCCTCTTGCCCCGTACCAAGGCCCTTTGACCCCAACTTTGCCTTTATAAGTTAAGTCACCTTAGTGCCTCAATCAATTGCTTCGCCGAGATAAGGTGCATATGCCTTGAGGCTCCCTTCGATATTGGCACCATGCAAAATGAGTCTGCTCTATCAAAACAAGGGACCTATGGAACAACATGATCTCGCTCTTGCATTTGCAAGAGTTCATGTCCTTGACTTCTGTCCAAGGAAAACTTCGTAACTCCGCTCCATATTCTGTCTTCTACATCAACTCCCTTTATACGGCTTGGGCACTTCACCAAGTTCCACCTAGGTTGCTCCGCTCCTTAGTTTACATTAAATTGATAATGGCTCTTGCACCTACCATTTCATAGGTCAACCCTTCGTTAAATTCGATCTCCACATCGGTTTCAAGTGTGTCTTCATTTAGTGTTGCCTAAGGTTGCTCCCCCACTTGATCTCTCAATGCATCCACCATGCATTGCCTCATGCGAGATCATGCAACGACTCCTCACCACTCGCTCGATCCATTGAGTTTTATAAAGTTGTCGTCTTAAGGTACCCCCTTAACATGTGTGGTCTGTTGCACATGATTCTTCCTCTAGAAAACCAGGATTTATCCCTCCTGGATATTTGTCTCATTGGAACGATTTTTCTCTTTGCATCATTCCTTCTAGCATTTTCAAATACTACTATCTCCTTGGACTACTCCACCTTGCTGAAAAAACTATGCACTGTTCTGCCACTGTGAATGCGCTTGCTAGATTGCGACTCTTCGCCAATACAACCCCCATTGCGCCCCTCAAGGCTTAGCAACATACTGAACTTACTGTACACTTTAGTCTTCTACGGACGTATCCTTCCTATGACAAAGAAAAAGTTTTTATACTCCATGACATCGAGTTTCGATCGCCTTGGGATGGACACGAATAGCCTATCATTCGTATACAAGCCTTTACATAAGTACCGAATTCTTTGAGTTAACAGTTCACCTCACCTTTGTGAGCTTTGTACAACTCTTTCAATCGACGAGCAACCTATCCCTCCTTGCACGATCTCATCCTATGTCAAGCACTCCGCTTGCCTTAAGCGCCATCAAGTTTGGTTGCCAATGTAGAGTTCTAGCTCAAACTCAACCATTCCAACTTTTGTGCGCTACGCATTCTTCTTAACTCACTTGTCCTCGTGGTGGCTCTCGTGCGAAAGGTTGGTCATTCCTCTTAATGTCAATCTCGAATGTCAGCTTCTTTGAGCAACTTCTTTCCGTACGTCTCTACATCTGTTTTCCTCAAACGGCCATGTGTGCTGCGTGCCCTCAATGCAGCCCCGCTAGGTCCCCATGTTTGGATGCTAAGTGTTTCTAAGTGTGTTTGTCCCTCTCTGATACCATCTGTCACGAACTTAGCTAGTTTTGTTTAAATTATGCAACACCTTTGCGTGCTCATCCGCAAAGGCTCAACCTTGCTGAAATCTCTTATGGTCTCTTAAGGATATACAAAAAAGAAGACGGGTTAGACGAAGCATTTAACTCAAGATCCCACAAGCAAAATTTCAACAAATACTTAATAGATAATGTAAATTATAAACATAGACTTCGCAAGCTCTGAACGATTGCGATAAAGGATCCAAGATGGTCCGTCACGGCCAAAAGTCCCCACAAGTAGCCATATGACACTACTACAGAACAAGGCAATGAACCAACCTTAGACACCATCCTAAAGGCCCATCGAGCCATGTGCCTCCCGAGTAACTCCTGGGTACTATACTGGCTGGCATTCCACACCACTCTGTAGAGATAGAAAACCTCCAAAATGACTGTTTAGATGGCATATTTTTGAGAAATTTTGCATCTGCGTGACGACTGCACACAATCTACGTTTATAGGACTAAGACAACAACAAAAGCCAACCAAAATGAGGCTATTAAGCCTACTGCAAATCATCTACATATTGTGTAAAGCATGAATAAAATTGAAAGACATAGATATATATAAACATTACATCGCATACACTTTGTACAGATTTATCTATGACAGGAGGGTTACTAAAAATCTACATGTAGAAGTTTAAATGCCTTATAAAAAAAGGTCCGACATTTGGGCACAAAGTTATTTTAGGCATAGTCTTTGGCAATATTGATGTTACTAGAAACAGTGGAATGTGGATGTTATTTGTTACAAGCTGCAATATTATTTTAAGCATACAAATTTTGTGGTCTTAAAGCACTCTATGTACATGAAGTTGGAAAAGAGTGCAATGTGTGAATATTTCTTGTGCTTACATAGTTGTCTAGTACGTACATTGTTTAAAATTTCTAGCAACAATCTCGAATGTTTGGTGTAAAACAGTACTTCACAAGGAAAAATTTTCCATATAGCATGGTTGCAAGGGATCACACCAATTGGTAGTGCTCTTCAAGAAAACAGCACTATACATTGGGTTCCTTAGAATATGGAAGAGAAAATTCAACAAGTTACATAACTATGATCCCTATAGGTCCTGGAAGAACAGGGTCCAGAAGGAAGCCATGAGGAATGCAGCAGGGACTCAGAACCACAACGAAACCTGGGATAGCTAAACTCATATTCTGCAATCCAGATGATACAGGTTTTTACGAAAGTAAATTGTGACGTTTTATTTAGTATGCTATAACAACGAAGCCACAATATTCTAACTATTTGGGGAAGGGTACATGGATCTTTTGCCACCAGTAAAGACCTCTTTTAATTTACTATGTTAACAACTAGAAATTCTAATATCTCTTTCCCAGAATTCAGAGAACAAAAGAAACATTTAAGTTTGACACAATGAGATCGTCTTTTGCTTGTTCGCCAAAAATAGCTCAAGCGAAACAATCAGCTTCACAAAGTCCAATCAAACTTCCAATGTAACCTTTCCTCAAAGTTAGATTGCTCTTAGATGCGACGAAGCCCCCCTCCTCCTCAAATACTTCCTTTAATGCACAACTCTTTCAATCATCCCTTCCCACCAATCTATATCACCTATTCTAATTGTAACGAGGACAACAAATAAGCGATGGGGAGATCTTATGCTATGCTTGAGGAAAGTATGGAAAGTTAGACTACAGTTTGCTTATCGATCAGAAGCATAAGCATATAAAGATCTAAAACCTTCGAACTTGGCAAAGAGAATTCCCAATCATAATAATAAAAGAAAAATCAAAAGATAAGCCTAATAAATATGGCTAATAAAATCTTCAAACTAAAAGAAAAAGACGATTGACAAGCATAAAAATCCCAATTTTTCCTTGGAAGGAACCAAATGGAAGACGCAGTGTCGACTAAGTGTACCTCAACATCTTCATGGGGTCGATTCATTCATCACCATAGGCAAGGAAACGGTAACGCTCCTCATAGGGGCCGTCGAAGAAGAGATCGGCCTCGAACCACTTGGGGTAGCGAACGAGGTCGCCAGCGACGAAACGCATGAAGCGCTCGCCGGACTTGGCACCCTCGGGAACTACCCTGACCTCGCCGCTGACCACGTACACCTGCTGGTCCACGTGCCAATCCCAGGGGAGGCGGCAGCGCCCTCCGGTCTTCCACACCAACCACCGGTCGACGCCAAGCTCCGCCAGCCGCTCCCTCGACAGCCGTCGCTCCACCCGCACGTTGTACACGTCCTCCAGAGGCCGCTCGAAACGCGAATAGATCCCAAGGGTCCCACTGGAAGAAGCGGAAGAAGACAAGGGAGGAAAGCGGCGGCGGAGGAACTTGGGAGGGACGGCGGAGGACGGTGGGAGGAGTGCGGCGGCGTGGAAGCTGAGGGATGAAGCCATCTTTGTGGCTTCTCGTTCGCTGTTTCGGGCTTGTTATCCCTTCGCTCTTTTGAGTTTGCGGGGTTTTAGCTAAATATGGAATTATTATTATTATTATTATTATTATTATTATTATTATTATTATTATTATTGTGATCTAATAAAACCTTTATCAACTAAATTAATAAATATTTTAAAATTAAACGAAATCTCAAATCCTCAGTTAAGTATATCACCAGCATATAAATATTTTAGATTGTATATATATATCATCCTCCACATAAACTACGTTGGGAGATGTGCTTAGCCTGGAGGCTAACCCATAGAAAATTCCAGTGTTTTATGGACGAATTACCCCTGCAATCTAAAATTTCTGCTGGTTTTAAGATGAACTCTCCTCTAAGCGGAAACGAACTTTTCTTGGATGATATGAAGCAGATGTCCTTGTATTTATGGAACACGGTTTTGACCAGTGTTGACAATGAACACAAGTTTTCATCCATAGAAGTCAACCCTCCAAACAGATACGAACGCAAAGTCCCCAACTCCAAACAGATCAATCCACCAAGCAACTTCTATTCCCATTAAGAAACACGATAGCAAGCAAACCCAGAATCTTGCTATCTTCAAATGAAGGGAACAGCGTTTCGAACAAGTCACAGATATACATTAAATTCCCCTACTCCAAACAGATCAATCCACCAAGCAACTTCTATTTCCATTAAGCAACACGATAGCAAGCAAATCCAGAAATTGGGCTACAGAATCTTGTTATCGTCAAATGATGAAGGGAACAGTGTTTGGAACAAGTCACAGATATACATTAAAGATTCAAACAATAGTTCCCCAGGAGCAAATGTCCTTAGCTTGCATCAGAAATTACAGGAAGTTGACAGATGTTAAGACAATTAGGGAGAAATAACTCCAATTAGCATGAAGATTTGACTAGATTCAGCTTGCATCAGAGCATTTTTGGCAGGGCGGCAGAAACCTGAAAATTGGAACTTCGTATCAAGTAAAAACACATTCAAAGGCACAATGATGCTCGAATGCAAAGATAGCTGAGAAAGAAAAGAATCTAGGGTATTCGGTGTGAACCTTCTATGGTCAACTTGACGAGGTGCCGACTGAGGTTGCACGACCTGAAGGTTGCAGTTCTTTCAGAGTACTGGCGAGCCAGTCCAAACCCTCATAGAGGCCATCACCTCGAAGAGCACAAGTTCCTTGAATGTGCCACACCCGGTTCCTCAGGTCATAGAGACCAAGCCCCTCGCACACCTCCATGGGGGTCATTGCACCTCTCTAAACAGGATCTCATCATCAGGGGTTATAGTTTATATGGCTACAGAACGAAAAAAAACAAAAACAAATTTTCATTTATAGTACATGGATGCATTTCAAGATAAAATCATCAGCTAAACCAATGCAAGGACCTGTTGAATGAATACAACTAAACATATTTCATCTTGGCCAAATTAAAACTCCATCCGAACTCTCTTTTAATAACCAAATATCTGCTAAAACGACAGAATATTGATGATTTGAGAAGTCTCATGAAGAACAGAAATTAGCCAGTGGAAGACAGACATCATATGCAGGAAATGGCCCACTATTCTTGGCAGAACAACCAACAAACTGAAGAAAGTCTAATTGAGATACATGAACCCAGGTTTACGGATGACTTGGTGCCAATAAGTCCTTGACATGGCAGCTACAACAAGCCCACATAGCGAATGAAATGACATGACAAAAATGACAAAGGACAGAATGATAATTAGCCTATGGCTAGCAGCATGATAATTAGCCTGCTGGAGTCATCACAAGTTCACAGTGTCATGAAACCTGTTCATCAAATCGGTCATCGGAACTTTCCAACTTATGAACTAATGAAATGGAATAAGGAAAAACAAACAACTAGCAATCACTTCTGTCTTCCAGCATGATGAACATCAAGTTGAAACTTCAGTAAATTAAATATAAAAAAATCAACAAGAAACTATAGAGCTGAAAATTCCATATGAAGACAAGCCCAAAAGTACAAAATTAGTTCAGCTATATGTGCAATGTAACATCAAATTATATTTACCAAGTGCAGACCAATTTAAAGATCAGACAAAGGCTTAGAACCTTGTGAGTGGCATAGACTAAGGAATTGCAAGAAATAAGATTTATTACCCGAAGACTGAATACGTTATTGTACTTTAATATGAATTTTTAAGCAAAAATATTTACTGGACCTTTCTATAGACCAGTGATTTAAAAAGCGCTAAGTGCCAAAAGGCGCCAAGGTCCAAAAACGCCCGAGGCGCTAGGCGCTCACTCAAGCGAAGCGAGACGCTAAAATATAAAAATATATAATATAATTAATAAATATAATTATTTAAATAAAAAATATGCTATTAAAATAAGAAAATTGGGTACAAAATCACAATAAATAAATAAATCATAATAATATATTTTTTATTTTTTAAATAAAAATATATTATTAAATAAATAAAAATTAATAGTATTAAAATCAAAATAATATATTATTAATCTAATAAATAAAAATACTATTATTAGTATACAGTTAGCAGTATACTGTTAATATATTGTTAACAGTATAGTGAGAAAAGTGTGAGAAGACCGAGGCTGCTGAGGCAACAGCAACGATAGCAGGCGATAGCTGGAGCGGGAGCGGCGAGCGGCGGCAACAGCAAGAGTGACAAGCGACAGCGGGAGTGGGAGTGCGGCGAGCGGCAGCGACAACGGGAGCGACGACAACATCGGCGAGCGACGACAGCAACGACGAGCAACGATTGTGGCAGCGGCGAGCAGCGACAGTGGTAGCAGCAGCGACAACGGAAAACAAATCTTGACGACAAAATCACGAGTGTTAGGGTTGGGGAAGTCGGGGAAATCGCGAGAGGGAGCCTAATATCGGTGATTTAGTTGGTTCGATTGAACCAACTAAAGTACCGGAGACCAACCAAACCTAAAAATCTGGTTCGGTCGCCTAGTTTAACCCAAGCACTCGCCCGAAGCGCCCGACACCTGGGCTCGGGCGAGCGCCCAGGCGACGCCTCTTTGAAACGAGGCGCCTGGACATGAAGCGAGGTGCTCGGGCCTCGCCTCGCCTCGCCTCGCCCGAGCGCCTATTGAAATCACTGCTATGGACACCTACTCTAACTGTTGCAAAGTTATTAAAATATCTACACATGAATTTCATGACAGTAAATATAACATGCATGAGATTATTAACAAACTTCTTCAAGTGCATTTCAATCTAATGCCACTGATTCAAATTGCAAAATAGCATTTGATGCATGCAGAAACCGTCTTTAAAAATAAAAAAGACAGATGTCTTTCCAATAGCACAAAACTAACATGCAGCATCAGACTAAAAGAACAGTTGGGTGATTTTGTTCAGATGCATGGAATTGCATTACAAACAAGCAGGAGGCTTGTACTATTTTTGAGTTACCAATTTAACATACCATGTCTTGTTTGTTTGCAAATACCAAAATAACACTGTTGAGCATAAAGGGGTCATTGATGATGGCCTGAAAAGAACAATTATCAAGTCATTAATAAAATAAAAGCAGCAACAAACTATTTTTCTATACATGGAAAGATATAAGAAAAGAACCTGAAACTCTGCTTTAGCCTTCCCAATTCTCTCTCTATCCAATGAATCAACTACATAGATCTGCAACAAAGAAAATGTGGCACTAAAACTCTTATTTTTCTATATGCATTCCATAGTGGCAGGAACTAAAACACATGGAAGAGAAGAGACGAGTATTAAAAAGTAAAAAAATTTAAATATTGAAGTTCCTGCATTATAATTTACAGGACTAAACTCTTTCATTTGTGTAGTTTCAAAAGACAAAAAAGAAAAATAGGAGTCCTATGAACTTTCATTGACCCATTTCTTTTCACCTTCTAACTTCTTAGTTCTTAGTGATAAAGATTGAATATCAAAACAGGGTTATGTTAGGACTCTAGCTAGGAGAGTCTTAATTGAAAGAGACATTCATGCAAAACCTACCTAAACTGACCCCTATTAAAGAGGTGAAGAGGCCGGCTAGGGTTAGAAGATTATTTCTTAGAGAAGAATTATGAGTTGTAAAATAATAGAAGTCTTGAGTAAGAGTCCTATTAGGAGTTGGTTAGAAGTATGAGTCTTGAGTAGGAGTCCTATTAGGAGTTAGGGTTTAGAAGCCCTATAAATAACCATGTATTCCTCCTCTTTTCATAAGCAATAGATGAATCTTTTTTGCAGCCTTTGAGCAGCAACTTGGAGGGAGGAACCCTTATAGAGTTCCAAGGAGGCCGATCCCTAAAGAGATCAACCCCAAGTTTAGAATCTGCAAGGGTTCTAACAGGTTATTTGTTATTACATAGAGTGTGGACGTCACATGACCCTAAGATACAAATTGCAAAAAGCATGCCTCCTAGTATTAATGTCAAACGCCAAGGATGATATACTTATCATAGAAAAGGAACTTCACTAGAAAACAGTCCTAAACAACCAAAAATATTTATCAAAGGATATATCACAAGGTTTCTCTATGAGAAACAGATAAGAATAATTATCACTGTTTTTCCAATAGAAAGATATGAACTATTTACCAGACCATCTGTGTTGTTAAAGTAATGCCTCCATAAAGGCCTCAATTTCTCTTGCCCACCAACATCCCACACTGTGAACATCACATTTTTATATTGAACTTTTTCTACATTAAAACCTGCATAAATGAAGATAAAAGAATTACCAGAGAGTCTAAGCTATTATGAGATGATACACACACACACACACACACACACACACACACACACACACATATATATATATATATATATATATATATATATATCAAACTATTTCATTGAACCACCAAATCTGTTTTAGTATATCAACAGGTAAACATCTAAATAGCTTTATAACCTTCCTCAAAGTTGTATCAGTTAAATAATTTATTAAAGAAATATCAGGATGTTAGGTTACTGACAACTCCTCTAAATAAACTACAAAGCTTGGTTCATTTTCTCTGGCTTGTGGATCCTGATGGAAGACATGAA